TTCCTTCCTTTTTTTTTTTTTGTGAGGAAGATTAGCCCTGAGCTAACACCTGATGCCAGTCCTCCTCTTTTTGCTGAGGAAGATTGGCCCTGGGCTAACATCCGTGCCCATCTTCCTCTACTTTATATGGGACACCACCACAGCATGGCTTGACAAGTGGTACATTGGTGAGCGCCCAGGATCCGACCTCACGAACACCAGGCCCCCGAAGCAGAGCACACGCACTTAACCACCACGCTGCCGGGCCGGCCTCATAAATTTCCTTCCTTTTTAAGACTATTAAATAGTCTTAAATTAATAATATTCCATTGTATGCATATACCACATTTTGTTTATCTTTCATCTGTTGATGGACACTTGGGTTGCTTTGGCTATTGTGAATAATGCTGCTACGAAGATGGGTGTACAAATATCAATTTGGGACCCTGCTTTCATTTCTTTTGGGTATATACCCAGAAGGGAAATTTCTGGATTATACGGTAATTTTATTTTCAATTTTTTGAGGAGTCGCCATACTGTTTTCCATAGTGGCTGCACCATTTTAAATTCCCACCAACAGCGCACAAGGGTTCCAATTTGTCCACACTCTCGTCAACACTTGTTAAACTTTTCTGGGGTTTTTTTTGATAGCAGTCATCTTAATGGGTGTGAGGCGGTGTCCCACTGTGGTTTTGATTTGCATTTCCCTAATGATTAGTGATATTGAGCAGTTTTTCATGTGCTTGTTGGCCATCTGTATATCTTCTTTGGAGAAATGTCTATTCAAGTCCTTTGCCCATTTTTAAACAGTTGTTTGTTTTGTTGTTGTTGTTGAGTTGTAGGAGTTCTTTATATATTCTAGATATTAACCTGACATCAGATAAATGATTTGTAAATATCTTTTCCCATTCTGCAGGTTGCCTTTTCCTGCTCATTTTTAAATCACTTTAAATTATTGACTGTTTAAAACAAAAACAGATGAGAACAATGCTGTATGGGTTTATAGCATACATAGATGTAAAATATATGACAAAAATAGCACAAAGGATGGGACGGAGAATGTAAATACACTGTTGTAAGGTTCCTTAAGTGAAGTGCTATAGTATTATTTGAAAATAGATTATAAATTAAAGACGTATATTGTAAACTCTGGAACAATCAAGAAAAACAAAACAAAGAGGTATAGCTATTAAGCCACTAGTGGAGGTAAAAATGAAGCCATAAAACACAGTCAATTAATCCAAAAGGAGACAGGACAGGAAAAGAAAAGAAAAAAGAAGAAAACTAATAGCAAGATGGTAGATTTAAACCCAAACATACTGATGATTATATTAAATGTAAATGTAAACGGACAATAAAAGGCAGACACTGTCAGACTGGATAAAAAGCGAGACTCAACTATGTGCTGTCTACAAGAAATCCATTTTAATTATAAAGACACAGGTGAGATGTAAAATGATGGACTGCTGCCAACCAGCCCTGAGACCCAACTTCTCTGAGGCTCAAGTGAAAAAACAAACATACTCTCCCCCTCCAAACACACAAAAGAAGTAAAAGGATGGAAAAACATATACCACAATGAAGCTAATTTTTTTTAAAAAGACTGGAATGGTTACATTAATATCAACCAAAGGAAGATTTCAGAACAAGAATTATTACCAGGGAAAAAGGGACATTTCAAAATAATGAAGGAATCTATTCTGCAAGGGGATATAACAATCCTAAATGTACATGCAGTAAATGGCAGAGCTTCAAAATACATGAAGCAAAAACCGATAAATGGAGACTCAACATCCCTCTGTTAGTAAGTGATAGGAAATCACTAAGGATATAGGAGACTTGACAAACACTATCAACCAATCTAATCTAATTGCCATTTACAGAATACCCAATAACACCAGAAATATTTCTTTTTCAAGTGCACACTGTATATTCATAAAGATAGACCATATTTTATCCTAAAACCAAGGTCTCAATCAATTTAAAACTATTAAAATCATACAAAATATATTCTCTGATCACAACAAAAATAGACCAGATATCTATAACACAAAAAATATCTTGGGGACAGCTCTGTGGCATAGTGGTTAAGTTTGCACACTCTGCTACGCCGGCCCGGGGTTCACAGGTTTGGATCCCGGACACGGACTTACATACCGCTTATCAAGCCATGCTGCTACAGGCATCCCGCATATAAATTAGAGGAAGATGGGCACGGATATTAGCCCAGGGCCAATCTTCCTCAACAAAAAGGAGGAGGATTGGCAACAGATGTTAGCTCAGGGCTAATCTTTCTGATCAAAAAGAAAAAAAAAAAACAAAACAAAACCCTGAAACACCCTCAAATATTTCAAAATAAAGCAAAACACTTCAAAAGAACCCATGAGTCAAAGTAGAAATCAGAAGTGACATTAGAAAATATTGTTAATTTTTAATTCAATGAAAATAAAAATACAATATCAAAATTTGTGGGAGGTAGCTGATACAGTTTATAGAGGGAAATTTATAGCATTTAATTCTTATATTAGAAAGGAATCAAATCAATGGTCTAACCTTCTACCTTAGGAAACAAACAGGGCCGGCACCGTGGCTTAGCGGTTAAGTGCGTGCGCTCCGCTACTGGCGGCCCGGGTTCGGATCCCGGGTGCGCACCGACGCATCGCTTCTCTGGCCATGCTGAGGCCGCGTCCCACATACAGCAACTAGAAGGATGTGCAGCTATGACATACAACTATCTACTGGGGCTTTGGGGGAGAAAAAAGGAGGAGGATTGGCAATAGAGGTTAGCTCAGAGCCGGTCTTCCTCAGCAAAAAGAGGAGGATTAGCACGGGTGTTAGCTCAGGGCTGATCTCTCTCTCTCTCTCTCTCTCTCTCTCTCTCTCTCTCACACACACACACAGACTGATGGCAGAGACGTAGAGCAACTGGAACTTGCGAAATTGCTGGCAGGAAAGCAAAACAGTACAGTTGATTTGGAAAACAGTTTGGCAATTTCTTATAAAGTTAAACATATATCCTGTACACAAATGTTTATAGTGGCTTTTTTTATAATGACCAAAAACTAGAATTAACCCAAATGTCTTATGACTGTTGAGGAGATAAACAGACTGTGTTATATCCATACAATGGCATACTCTTCTGTAATAAAAAGGAACAAACAGCTGATACATACAACACATGTATGCCTCTCAAATGCATTATATTAAATGAAAGAGGCAGACTCAAAAGGCTACACACTATATGACTCCACGTACATGACATTCTGGAAATACTGCAGGCACAGAAAAGCGATCAGTGGTTGTCAGGGGCTGGGGGTCAGGGGAGTGGTTAACTGCAAAGGAGCATGAGAGAGCTTTTGGGGGTGGTGATGGAAATGTTCTATCGATTGCTGTGGTGGTTACTCAAAGGCATGCATTTATCAACACTCATACAACTACACTAAAATGTAAATTTTACTGTATGTAGATTAAGCTTCAGTAAGTCTTACTTTTAATAAAATTATGATATATCCATACAATTGTATATTAGGCAATCATTTAACAAATAAGATTACTATATATGCTGGTAATGGGACAATTTCTAACACATATCGTTAGGAGTAAAAAGCAAGATACAAGACAATAAATACAGTATGTTCCCATTTATGGTAATATTGGCTGTCTCTGGGGAAAGGGTCTGGAGTGGGAGTATACACCCTTTTGTACTGTTTGAGTTATTTATTTTTTTTTAACCACATGATTGTATTACTTTCAATTAGCAAAAGTAAAAGAAACCTATATACAGGTCAAGGAAAGTTCACAGGTGTCTGGCCCAGGGGGCTGAGTCATGTAGGACTGACAAAACATGTGTAAGAACATGGAACATGGAGCCAGACACTTAAGAGGCACTCAATAAATAGTTGGGGGAAGCAGAATATTTGGAATCAATTCAGAAGGCAGACCCTGGACAAAGAGATCTCTATCTGACCACCAGACATTCAGCTGCAGAGCCTGCTTTACACAGGAGCTAAGCTTGGACCGCTCACATCAGAAAAAGAAAAGGAGCATAAAAACCAAATATCCTGGATTTCCTTTTGGGCAAGCTGTTTCTCAGCATTCCTCTGCAAGCACACTGTGTGCCCTAACCTTAGCCTTCTAAGGGATAGGGTGTAAGTCCTTCCCCCATGAATAGCCCAACCCAAGAGGCCACCTCTACGGCTCCTCTGGTGGTCCAAGCGGTACACCCGACTCCCAGAGGGTCCTGAGCAGCCGCTCCTCCAGCCCCTCCATGTCAGACACTCCTATAACTTTCTGAAGGAACAAAATGACCCTGACAGTCTCTCTACACTCCAGATGGCAGACAAGACAGTCTCAGCACGTCAGGCCCTTCTCCACACTCAGGCTGCAGGGAAAGAAAACCTGAAAGGAAAAGGCAGATAAGTAAGTGAGGCCCCTTAGCAGAATTTGGTAAAAGGAACTCCCAGGGTTTGGCACAGCCTCTTTCAGCAAACCTGATATCAAGGAAATCAGGAACTCCAGAAAGCAAAATAGACAAAGAAGGAAGGAGTCAAAACAGCCAGCCTCAGAAACTCCTCTTTGTTCCCTGCTTTATTTGGATATACCTCCCTGAAGCCAGGAAGTTGGTCCTAGCTTCCAAAAAAGTTTGGCCACTGACAGTACGACAGGAGCTTCTGTGCTGGGTAGCCTTGTCTGGCTGCCTCTGGATACCTGGCTTCCGAGTGGCAACCACGTGGGTTCCACCTCCTCCCTCCCCTCCACAGATACAAGCTCTGCTGGCAGGTGCAAGCTCCAAGAAGCAGAACAGTGGGTAAGGTGTAGCAAGGGCATAGTGTGGGATTGGGGTAGGAACCAACTAGAAGTAAAATCCTTTCCAGGCCCTCACAGACTCGAGGACACAGGAGGGAACTCACAACAGAATCTCCTTTTCTCAGGAGCATATCACTTGCCATGAGGGCAGAGTTTCTGACTGCTGGGCCATGGACCAGGCTGTCTAGGTGACGGGAAGAAACGGGAGCACTTACCGGGGGAAGATAGCAGTCATCAAGGCTGAAGCATACCCAGGTTTGCAAACTCCCTCTGAAAAGTTTGCGTACTTGGTGGCTAACTCAGCAGGCCTATGGGAAGAGAAGCAAAGTCACAGCTTGTCAGGCACTGAGCAGTCAGCGGGTTATTAGTTCATGAAGGGCTGTAAGCATTTAAACCTTGAATAAAGCTTCATTCCCTATAATCAGCACTTCAGCCCCTTTTCCACACCAAGACTTCAGAGGAAAAAGAAACCAAAAAACCCTAAAGCAATAGGTAGATAAATAAGCAAGTTCCCTCAAAGGAATTTGGTAAATGGAACTCACTGGGTTTTGCACAGATTCTTAGCAGTAAGCCTGTACCAAGGAAATCAGGAACCCCATGCAGGCTCCCAGACGGGGAGAGTGGAGCCTGGAGACCTAAGGAAAGAGCTGCTCAGACTTGGACAGTCACAGGCACTGCCCTTTCAACCTTCCTTGTATGTTCCTACACGTCCAACCTCACCTGCCTCTATTCTCTCCACACATGCTGCGACCCAGCCAGTGGGAACCACTCAGTATGCTGAATATAGATCAAATGTAAGTTGGGCTATTACTGTAACCTTAGACGTTTAGTTGAGGATGCTCTCCTGCTCTCCTATTCTCTCTGCCTGGAATGTTCTTCCTTGTCCTCCTCCATCTGGCTACGCCTACTGGTCCTTCACAACTAAGCTCAGATGACAGCTTCACTGGGAGGAATTCCCTACCCCCTAGATTGGGCTAAGTGCCTCCTCTGTGATCCCAGAGTCCCTCCCCCTGCCACCCACATTATGTGCTCACCCCCATCAGCACCTGACATACTGTATTTTAACTGTTAGTAGTATGTCTCCCTCATTATACTGTAAGTTCCTGAGGTCCGAGTCTGATTTAACCCTGCACCCCCAGTGCCTTATGCAGAGATGGGAACACAGAAGACCCCTATAATTTTCTAAAGGAGTAAAATGACCCTGACAGTCTCACTGCACTTGGACTGGAAACAAGACAGTCTCAGGAATCCACAAGACAGAGATTGCTGAATATTTTTCAGCAGACTTGGGTGTTCCAGCTCTGGCTTTGTTGCTGTGTGATTGCAGTCAAATCACCTCACATCTTTGGGCTTCAATGTCCTTATGTGTTCAAGGTGGGGCTGGAGTCACTGCCTGGCCACCAAAAACTCTGCCCACTACAGTCTAGAGAAAACCACAACGGAAGAACAGGACACATTCAGTGACTGCTGGGGGTGGAGGCCCTGCGTGCTGGGGCACCTGAGGGAGCCCTGGCTGGTGGCCAGTGCCCGGTCCCAACCTCCCCCGCCTCCACCCTTGGGCCTGCTGCCAACACTCTGATGCCCAGCTGCTCTACCGTGCTGGGGCGCTGTGGCAATTCCCTCAGGACTGCCTTCCGCAGGGACTGGGTGGGGTGGGTATAGGGGTCAGGGGGCTGGTGCCTGTACTGAATAGCCACAAACGATGACCCCACTGCCTCCCGTGTGGCCTGTGTGATTCACTCATGTGCTCCTATGGGCCTAGCCCAGGGTCTTGCACAGAGTAATTACTCATTGAATTTAGACAAACTCATCTGTATCCATGTGCAATTTCTTCTAGAAATCTACATTCTCTTAGCCTTCTCGCCCAATGAAATTTAAAGTCTGAAATGCAAATGCAAATACTGACTGACAAGCCAGAGTTGGGACTTTATTTGGTAAGCAAAAGAAAGTCAGAGGTTTAACAACATAATTTACATAACAATATTTTCTTATGTAAACAACTGTATTTCAGAAACAAAATGTAAACTTCAGTGCAATTACTGAACTTACTGGAAGCTTCTAGACTAGGCATAGTGATTAAAACATTATAGGGCCGGCCCTGTGGCTTAGCGGTTAGGTACGCGCACTCTGCTACTGGCGGCCCGGGTTCGGATCCCGGGCACGTACCAACGCACCACTTCCCGGGACATGCTGAGGCCGCATCCCACATGCGGCAGCTGGAAGGATGTGCAACTATGACATACAACTGTCTACTGGGGCTTTGGGGAAAAAAAAATAAAAGGGAGGAGGATTGGCAATAGATGTTAGCTCAGAGCCGGTCTTCCTCAGCAAAAAGGAGGATTAGCACGGATATTAGCTCAGGGCTGATCTTTCTCACAAAAAAAATAATAAAAAATAAAATAAAATACAATAAAACATTACAGATTTTTTCAATTACTCCTCTCAATAGCTATGTGAGTAGGTGCTATTAATTATTAATTTACACACAAGCTCAGAAAGATAAAGAGACTTATCCAAGATCATATAGCTAGTAAGCAGTAGATACCGGATTTGAACCTGTTTCTCTCTAACACCAGTGCAGGAGCTCTTAACAGGGCACTATGTGGATCACAGTAAGTGTCATGACAGAGGGAAGCACAGAGTCCAAGGATAGCACCAGCGATCAGTGCAGATGGAGATGGGGTAGAGAAAAGGATTAAGAAGGCCTCGCACAGCTCTTTGCAAGTGTGTATACAACCAGCAAGGCATTATGAGTCCCTAATATCCTTGTCTCCCAATCCCCTATTATTTGCTTGCCCACTTTGTACTGTGGGTTCCTGTGGTCTTTCTAAATTCCAAAAAGTTTCACAAAGAAGATGAAACTTGGATGGCACGTACAACAGACAAAACTTTGGCCATATCTTTCCTCTCTCTAGTTTACACCACCCACTTTTGGCAAGGTGCTTCAAGAAAGGGCTACGGGACAGTGCAGGGCCCAGAGACTCAGGTAACCTATAATGGAGAAGAGGAACCACTGGCAAGCTGGAGCACAGGGAAGCCAGAACCCAGCAGGGAAGCCTCTTCTCAGGGCACTGCAAGGTAGTCAGATACCAAGGATGAGCAGCTCCCATCTCAACCCTCCACTTAGAAAGCAACAGTAACTTCTAAAACTACAGCCCCGGGTACAGTGGGCCACGTCAAGTTATTACCAAATTAAAATGCCTTAGAAATGGCCTCCTGACTATCCCAGTGAGAGAAGAATAGGGGGAGTGTTGGGGATTCTGAGTCATACAGCAGGCTGGGACCTCTGGGGCAGTTAGCGGTCAAAACCACCAAGATTAACAGTCGCCAACTCCCTTGGGCCAGAATAGTTAGTTTCTCTAAGGCACTCACACTCCAAATGCCAGGAGGCCCCCACAGATGTCTGATCAAATCACTCAGCCCTTGTTCTCTTCCTACTCTGCAGCTGGCCTTTCATTTTAGGATATTTAGCATTTCAACCAGTAAGAGCACCCATTGTCTTGCAAACGTGACTACCAAACCCCTGGGGCGAAGAGTGTAAACCACTGTACTCTCAAGAGGAAATCCAGATGGAGAGACTGGAACCCAAAGGAAGGAAGCAGACTTGCACTCCCCTGCTTCACTCAGAAGCATCAGTCTAAGGAATCAGGCCGAGCAATGGGCTGTAAATGGGAAGAGCGTAGGGTGTGGGATCAGAAAGTCTCACAGAGGACAGTGGCAAGCTGTGTGACCTTGGGGCAGTGATGGAAAATTTGATTCCCAGCTTCCTCATATGCAAACCGAACCACTCGATTCCCAGGGATCTTGGGGGGATGTGGTGAGAAAGCACATCTGGAAGGGCTGGCTGTGCTCTAGAGCACCACACAAATGTTACATGAAAGATGGGGTGGCAGAGGCAGGCAGCCAGATGGTGGAGGCTTTGAACACTCAGCTCAAGCTTGGATTCTGTCATAGGGGACAGTCGCTGAATGACTTCTAGTGGGATAGTGCCCTGATCAAGGTGAGCATGTTAAGGATCAACATTTGGGAGGCGAGGAGCAGCACTGCAAGAGGCTGAAAGGAGTAGTCCATGAGATAGGAAAATAATCAGGAGAGAGTGTGATGAAAATTGAACACAGTGCCAAGGGAAGGAAGTGTCTCAAGAAGGACGCAGGGACGGACTGCCTGAAACACTGCAGTAGGCCTGGTAAGGTGTGGCCGTAGGATTGAGAGCTGGATTTGGCAACATGGAGGTTACTCCTGACCTTGAAAGGGCTGTTTCACTGGAGGGTGGGGGTGAAATGCTGATTTCACTGGGTTTAATACAAAACAGAGAACTGCAGTCATGGATATTCCTAGACTACTATTTTTAGGAGTTTGCTATAAAGGGAGACAGAGAAATGGGGCAATAGCTGGTGGCAAGACACAGGGAACAAAGTTTTTTGAGGTCAGGAAATACTTGAGCATGTTTATAAGCTGATTAGAATAAGAGAAGAACTGCTGATGCAGTAGAGATGGGACAGCTGTGGGAGAAACGCCCTTGAGTAGGTGAGAGGGGAACGGATCTAATACAAAAGGAGAAGCATTGGCCTTAGCTCTGCTACCCTGCCCTGGCCTGGCCAGCGACGATCTATTCATCTTGCAACGTTCAGTTTAAGCACCTTTATGAAGCTATTCATGATTGCTTCCCCTCCCAAATAGAACCAAGCTATCTTGCCTGTGGACCCCATTCTACCTAGAACTGACTCGCACTTTAGCTTGCTCACTTGTTCCCACACTCTCTTTCTCTCCCACCTCCTTCCCTTCTTTCCTCTGATTCACTCATTCATTCATTCAACAAACACTTAGAGGCACCAGAGTCACTCTGCTTGGATTTGTATCCTGGCTCTATCCTTTACCAGCTGTGTAACTTTGGGCATGTTATTTAATTGTTCTGTGCCTTAATTTCCAAATCTTTAAAACTGGGATTATACTAGTACTTCATAAAATTGTTGTGAGGACTTTGTTGAGGATAAAGTGCTTAGTACAATGCCTGGCACATAGTTATCTCTCAATACATGCTAACTGTAAGAATCTTCTTATGAGCCAGACACTGGGCTGAGATTAGGGACACAACGATGACTAGATATAGTTATGGCCCAGCACTAGTTACACCAAAGAATAACTGTCCATTTAAATATCTTTCTCTCCTAAACTATGAAAATTGAGCATAGCACAGAGTATCATGCATGACAAAGAGTATCTAAGTACCCAACAAAATGATTGTTGGACTGAACTCAACTGGATACCTCGACTTGAAAAGTTAATTGACAGGCAGTGTCAGGGAGAG